AGAGTCATACAGACAATTGCATAATGGCATTCCAGACTCATAGTAACAACAAGCAGCAATGGTCTATTCTTTGGATCCTCGGTATCCTGCCAAAATAAAAACAGAGCAAACAGGAACTAACCCCAAGTGGTACCAGGATGATGCCACAGAAGATGTTCCTTTGTTCTTACTGTAGGTGTGTTGAATATTGTATTCTTTGATTGCAGATGCTCCCTTTAAGAAACCCTCTCTAATTCACAGGAAAGATAATTGTGGGATGAGGGGAAGAGCTTAGATTAAACAGGGCTTTCCCTTACCTTAAAGAATCTATAGAAGATAAAACCCCAGAGTATATTCCCTTGAAGGGCCCTATTTATGAAGGGAAAAAAATCTTGTTAAAGTTGATTGCTGGGAAAACAGCCATGAGTTGAGCTCCTTGGTGTATTTGTCTTCTGGCAAACTTGACCCTTGTCTGGACTGGAGTGCAGATAGTAAACCGCAAAGACCACCTAAGCAGTGACAAGTGCACTGTGGGACAATAGTAGAAGGACTGTCCCTATTGGGACTGTTATGCCTACAACCACCATAAATTGCAACCCCCCTGCATTGGCGAAGACTAGCACAGCAAGGAGCCGCAAAATGGTTACTCTTCCTTGAATCAAATTTGTTCTGAACCATGGTGTGACTGCCCAGGCATTTTGTATGGTGTGGACAGATGTGCTCGGGCTGGGGAGTTGACGGGGAGAAATGCAAATATTGGTTAGCATGTGTATCAACAAGGCCAGTGAATTGCATTTGCATAATGAAAGGGGAAAATAGTATAACCCTGAATCTGGTCCATTTCCTCTTTGTATTAGAAAGTGATAGCAACAGGTCTTGAAAAAGGGCAGAAGTAGCCAGGCTGAGTTTTCAATATGAGAAACTGTGCTGACTAAAAACAGAGAAAGCTGTGGCACAAATTAACAGGTTTCAGGGCAGCAAGTGCAGTAGGCTTCTCCAGAATAAAAAACTGAAATAGTTCTTCAAACCATATTGCAAACATTTCAGTATTTTCTGTCTGTTACAGAGGGAGTGATTGTGCTACATCCCTATCTAAGCAGATCCCGCAGTCCTGCTGGGGCAATTGAACAAACACTGATGGTAATGCGAGTTTTGGCTGCCTAGAACCTGCAAATTCAGGCCCACATGGAGAGGCAGTGTGGTCACTGGATAAGGGATTGGGCTAAGAGTGTGTCTACACGCCTGCTGGGAAGCGTAATCCCAGCTCATGTAGACATATGCTAGCTCTACTTGAGCTAGCATACTACAAACAACAGTGTGGCTGCGAAAGCACAGGCAATGGCTTGGACTAGCCAGCTGACTACCATCCTGTCCAAGGTCCTTTCGCAGCTAGCTTCAGCTGCCACCCATGCTGCTGTGCCACACTGCTATTTTGAGCATGATAGGAAAAGCAGAGCTAATGCATGTACATCTACCCGAGTTGGAAATTATACCTCCCAGCTGTAACGCAGACACCCTAAGGTTACATTCTGCATGGCAGCTAGTTGCGTGCTTTCCAGAATGCTAAAAATAGTAGTGTAACCAAGGTAGCCTGGACAGCACCGCAGGTTAGCTAAGTTTAAGCCCACTAGACCCCCGGGTACAAACTCGGGTGGCCAGCCCAACTTGCTGTGCTACCTCTGGCTACACTGCTGTTTTCAGTGTGATAGCTCAAGCAAGCCAGTGATTGCCTCTCTATTCATGTCAGGAAGCATGCTCCCAGCTGCAGCGTAGCCATACCCTAAGAGTCAGGCAGCCTGGTTCCGTTACTGAACTGCTATTTCACCTTGGGCAATGGGGGAAGAGGGATAGCTCAGTGGTTTGAGCATTGGCCTGCTAAACCCAGGGTTGTGAGTTCAATCTTTGAGGGGGCCATTTGGGATCTGGGGCAAAAATTGGGGATTGGCCCTGCTTTGAGCAGGGGGTTGGACTAGATGACCTCCTGAGGTCCCTTCCCACCCTGATATTCTATGATTCTAATTCACTACCTCATACATCAGTTTCTTCACCTGTAAAATGGGGATGTAATAAAATTTAATTCCTGAGTTAAAGTGCTTTGAGATCAACAGATGAAAAATACTCTAAGAGTAAAGTCTTATTATTCAGTCATTTTATTATGTTATTTTAAAAATTATGTAACAATGAGAAGCACTCAGGTCAAAGCATTTAAGCACTGCTTGTCTCGGTAAACAAAAGACTCGCAGGCAACTAAAAGGGCTATTTTCCAGATGAAGTTAGTGAGGTGCAGATGTAAGACACAAACTTCATTACAGTTCTAACCAATTCCGACCCAACAGTAGCAGAAGTTGTATTAAAGCAGCGTCTCGTGGTTTAATGAAGGTCAGGGCCCCATTGTTCTGGGCTGTACACAAACCCATAGGAAGATGTGTCCTAAACACCTGTTTTTATAAGAACTTATCCCATTAAGACCCCAATCCTGCAAACATTCACATCTGCGGGTCCAATGAGTTCAAGCAGATGAAATCCAAGAGATGGCTTATAGTGTTGAATGAACACACTTGGCTGTTTGCTTAATTTCTTAAACGGCATATCATTATACTGATGATAAAATGAGTCTACAGATACGAGAAAGTATAAGAAAGGCCCCTCCAACCACTTCATTTAATGATATATCTGCATTTCCTTTATATAAACTCTATTTCCAGGAATTTATAACTCTCCTAAAAATAGTCACTCCAGACTTGAACTTGGCATACAAAGTTTCAGCTTGGGAGCAATTTTGTTGTTGCTGTTATAAATTTAAAAATAAATAAATAAATCTGTTTTGTCTGTTTATGTGCAAAACCTGAAGCATTTGAAGCATGCCAGTTTCAGAACACAGAGATCTGCCATAACTCAGAGGTTTGATTTTAAAATTAAGTCCTGGGTGTTTACAATATAGATTAAGCCATGCTTCTGTTTCTAAACTAGAACAGGGCAGTTGGATAGCTTAGGGCAGAGGTGGGCAAACTACTGGCCACATCTGGCCCGCAGGACCCTCCTGCTGACCCCTGAGCTACTGGCCCAGGAGGCGAGCCCCCGGCCCCTCCCCGGTTGTTCCCCCTCCCCGACAGCCTCAGCTCACTGTGCCACCAGCGCAATGCTCTGGGCAGCAGGGCTGCGAGCTCTTGCCGGGCAGCGCAGCTGCAGAGCTGCAGCCTGACCCGGTGCTCTGTGCTGCATGGTGGCGTGGCTGGCTCCAGCCTGGTGGCGCGGCTGCCTGTCCTGGTGCTCTGGGCAGCCCGGCTGTAGCGCCACCAGCCACCAGTGCTCCAGGCAGCGCGGTAAGGGGGCAGGGAGCAGCAGGGGTTGGATAGAGGGCAGGGGAGTTCAGGGTGGTAGTCAGGGGGCGGGGGTGTGGATAGGGGGCGGGGCGGTCAGAAGGCAGGGAACGGGGGGTTGAATGGGGCAGCAGGGAGCAGTCAGGGAGAAGGGGTGGTTGGATGGGGCAGGGGTCGGGGGGGCCAGTCAGGAATGAGAGGAGGGGTTGGATGGGGCGGTGGGGGTCAGTCAGGGGACAGGGAGGGGTGGACAGGGCAGGGGTCCTGGGGGGGCCGTCAGGGGGCGAGAAGCGGGAGGGGGGGTCAGATGGGGGCAGGGGCCAGGCCACGCCTGGCTGTTTGGGGAGGCACAGCCTCCCCTAACCAGCCCCCCATACAATTTCAGAAACCTGATGTGGCCCTCAGGCCAAAAAGTTTGCCCGCTCTGGCTTAGGGTATGTCTACCCTGCAATAAAAGACCCTCAGCTTAGCTGGGGCTTGGGCTTTGAGACTATAAAATTGCAGTGTAGTCAACTGGGTTCAAGTTGGAGCCTGGGCTCTGACACCCTGGAAGGGGGGAAGGGTGGCCTTTGAAACATTAGTTGAAGTTTTTTATGCCTTAATTTTGCTAGCTTTTCATGAAGTAGTTTTTTTTGTTTTTTTTTTAATAGGCATAGTCTGGAATTTGTTTTAAAATTATCCTAAATCCATATCCAACTAGGTATTTTTAAAAGCATGTTATTTACCTGCTAGGCCATGTCAGTTTATTTTTTAAAATCATATGCAGTAGCAAACTTTAAAAAAAAAGAAACTGGCATGGCCTAGCAGGTAAATAACATGCTTTTAAAAATACCTAGTTGTATAGCTGTTGTATTTTTTGAAAAATTTTATAAAAATATGGATTTAATCTGATTTTTAGGCTATTCCATTTACCTGTCTGATATGAGATCAGCCAACCCCACTCAGGGCTCTAAAGTAGACTAAAGACTCATGTGTCACAATAGCTGGATCTAGCGAGTGAAGGGAGGCTCAAATTTCAGCCTTAACCCTAAATTTTGTAGTCACTCCTGGGTTCAAGTAAGGATCTCCAGGCAATCTGAATGTAGCTTATTGTAGTTTAATGAAGTACAGTGCAAACTTTAAAACAGAGTACTCACCATTCAGAGACTGAATAAACAAAAGCATATTTAGACAACTGTGTGCTGTTCTACATTCTACGTCACCAAAAGGAATAAGAGTCTGCTCTTTAAAACCCCCACACAAGTCCTAGCAGCACTGCAAACGCCTTGCAGGCTGATTTCAAATGTGTGCTATTTTAAAAGTTAAATGAGCTTTATTTCCCAGATCAGCACGCACTTCACAAGGGACAAACTGCTACTTTTTAGATTCCTTTTGTTAAGCAGCTTTGAAATATCTATACAATGCAAAGTGTAATATTTTATGTATATTAATATTTTCCCTATTGTGTGTTTAAAGTCATAATTGTCTAAAAGGGATTATTGAGTAATGCTTTTGGCCTTCCCCTGAAAAGCACCTTTTGTGATTAGTCCAAACTAGCAAAAAAACAAAAGAGGAAGAATTGTCAAATATTGCAACTGGTATCGCCATGAACCAGCATCTAGGTTGGTTTGTTTGTTTGTTTGTTTGTTTGTGTTTTTTTTTAAAGGTAGCAAATACTAGAAAACTATTATTTTGACCTAAAATGTCGTTTTGCTTTCTTACCGATTCCATAATGAATCTCTTGAAGAAAAACTTGAAAGCCTGGAGGCTGAAGATCTCATGTCTCATCTGTCACCACGAGAAAACTACCTACACCAGGAGAAAAAGTGAGAAAAGTAATTAATAGTGAACAGAGCTATGGAACTTGCAAGGTCACTTTTTAAAACTTTAAGTTTGAAACAGTGTCCAAAAATCTATGAATGCCTCAGTAACAAGACTCACTGTCAAAAAATTCAACATAAGTTACTTAGTTACTTTGCAATAAATAATTATACTTGTTTTATTGTACTTGATGTTGCAAGTTTCCTCACAAGACACAGACCCATTAGAAAATCATTGAGGCAACATTAGATATTGCTAAGAGAGAGCCTCTTCAGCTTACTGGGAAAAAACTTTATGCATAGAATTTGGCAATTATTTATTTAGCTGTATTGTAGGTGGGGCTGATAGCACTGCATATAATTAAGCTTGCCCAACATTTCCCATTATAAGACCCTGTTTTCGGTTGCTTATATCTTTGCCAAAGTTTAGCTCTTTGGGCTGAAATTTTCCAAGCCTGGTGTCTACTGTGGACTGAAATTGGAAATTTTCGGCAAAAACAGTTCAGCCATTTCTAAGAAAGAGATTAGGAAAATTATATTGTTTTACCTTGTGTGACAAAATTCCTCTTCCACCTTGGTGGGTCCTGCACTTTTTGGCGGATTTGCTCGCCTCAGAGGTTCACGGCAGCCCTCAGTTTGGCTGCTTCTGCTAGAGGCTCAAGCCTGCCATTCACCCAACTAACCTCATCACTGGCCAGCATGGGGGAAACAGAGAACAATCCCTGCAGTCTCTGTGTCCCACCTAGTGGGTTGGGGACAAGCCAGAGCCCTTTCCAAATTAGATCTTCCCTTCTGATGTTCCTCACAGAGCAGGTCAACTCCTCCTGTATCCGATCAGGAATTGGGGGGAACCCAGGCCCGCCCTCTACACCCAGTTCTAGCCCAGGGCCTTATGGATAGCAGCTGTCTACACTGTCCCCTGTATCAACTGTGTGACAGCTACAACTCCCTGGGCTACTTCCCCATGGCGTTCCCCCAGCACCTTCTTTATCCTCACTGCAGGATCTTCCTCCTGAAGCCTGATCACACTTGTACTCTTCAGTCCTCCAGCAGCATACCTTCTCACTCCTTGTGCACCCCCACTAACTGATGGGAAGTCCTTTTTAAACCAGGTGTCCTGGTTAGCCCACCTGACATAATTGATTCTAGTAAGTTCTTAATTGGCTCCAGGTGTCTTAATTAGCTTGCCTGTATTAATTTGTTCTGGCAAGTTCCTGATTGCTCTAGGGCAGCCCTTGCTCTGGTCACTCATGGAACAGAAAACTATTAATCCAGAGGCCAGTAGATTTGCCTTCGACCAGACTCCTGTACCCCACTGGTCTGGGTCTACCACACTTGTTAAAAAAATTCTTGAGACCTTTGAAAATTTCTAGCACCTCTATGCTTTTGAGTAGACTTGAAATTTGACAGGGGAAGGGGTGGTGGTGGTGATGGCATTTGTGTCAGTAATGTGCTCTGCCTGTGAAAATCTGCCCAAATGTGGCCAAGTTATTACGGTCTGAAAATTCGTAATTTGCACATTTAGTAGACATATACTTAACTTTGGCTGCTAAAGTTTCTACATATTGCATCCTTTCTGAGCACCTAATGCTCAAAGCTCCGAGTGCTAGCCAGACTGTGTATGTGCCATCCCCACAGAGTACCCAAGCATGCTCCATCCCCTCACAGTTCCTACATGTGACAGGACTACACATGTGCCGTCCTGGGGCTACAGGGGCTAAGCCAGACTTTCCCTGTAATACCTGTTCCAGGCCTGGGACTGGAATTGAGAGCAGAGAGTCTGTCTCTTCTGTGCTCTCAGTGACACCTCCCACTCCACCTGCACTCAGGAATGTGGAGGAGGAACCATCTGATTTGATTGTTGAGGGGACAAAAGCCAGATCAGGGGAGGAGGAAAAGGAGCAGACTGGGACAATGTGCCTAGTGAGACTCGGAGTTTGGGGTGGGAGAAGAGACTGGGACTGGATGGACAGAGAGACTGGGACAAGAAGCCAGGGAGGAGGTAGAAACTGAGGTTAGATGAGAAGCCTGAAGGGCAAAATAGGTCTGGGACATAGCTGTAGGAGAAGGAGGAGGAAGAGGAAAGACAGATCTGATGTGAAGCCAAGAGAGGGGAACTAGGACTTGCTTGGCAAGGAGAATGGTTCTGTGTGGGGAAGGAAAATGGGACTTGGACATGGAGCCAGGATATGGAAGAAACAGGAACAGGTTGAAGGGAACAGGGCAGAAACAGTCAAGCTTGCAGGGAAACAGGATGAATCTGTGCCCACTAGAGTGCACTCCCCTTCAAAATCTGGAACGGAAGCCAAAAATTCCTGAGTCTCACCCTTCCCCTGGTGTCATAAAATATTTCTGAAACCCACTGACAAAGTGTGTGGCTCCTCCCCCTTTAGTGCTACCAGTTACTCCATTAGCTCAAGTGGCAGAGGTCAGTGTGGTGGAAATAAAGATTCCAATCTTGCCTATGAAACATGCTTATCAGTATGATGCCACATGATGGAATTTCTCCAGGGGGGTGGAGGTTCAGTTTGCTTTTTTAAAAACTTGGCGAATGTTAAAATAAAGTTAAAAGAGCATTTAAATTGTGAAGTCAAGTTCTCAAAAATTAAGAAATGCCACATTTAAGGTAGCCAGTGCCGCCTTGGTCCCCTTGTGCATATGCATTATGGTACCCTTTAACTGCTTGATCATAAATATACTTTCTTCATTCAGTGAGTCTCCTTTTTTTAAGCACTCCTCCCAGTTTATTGTCACCTGCAAACTTGCTGAGGGTGCAATCCACGCCATCCTCCAGTTCATTAATGAAGGTATTGAACAAAACCAGCCCCAGGACTTGGGGCACTCCGCTTGATACCGGCTGCCAACTAGACATGGAGCCATTGATCACTACCCGTTGAACCCAATGATCTAGCCAGATTTCTATCCACCTTAGAGTCCATTCATCCAGCCCATACTTCTTTAACTTGCTGGCAAGAATACTGTGGGAGACCATATCAAAAGCTTTGCTAAAGTCAAGGAACAACATGTCCACTGCTTTCCCCTCATCCACAGAGCCAGTTATCTCATCATAGAAGGCAATTAGATTAGTCAGGCATGACTTGCCCTTGGTGAATCCATGCTGACTGTTCCTGATAACTTTCTTCTCTAGTGCTTCAGAATTGATTCCTTGAGGACCTGCTCCATGATTTTTCCAGGGACTGAGGTGAGGCTGACTAGCCTGTAGTTCCCCGGATCCTCCTTCTTCCCTTTTTTAAAGATGGGCACTACATTAGCTTTTTTCCAGTCGTCTGAGACTTCCCCCGATTGCCATGAGTTTTCAAAGATAATGGCCAATGGCTCTGCAATCCCATCCACCACCTCCTTCAGCACTCTCGGATGCAGTGCATCTGGCCCCATGGACTTGTGCTCGTCCAGCTTTTTTAAATAGTCCCCGAACCACTTCTTTCTCCACAGAGGGCTGGTCACCTCCTCCCCATGCTGTGCTGCCCAGTGCAGTAGTCTGGGAGCTGACCTTGTTCGTGAAGACAGAGGCAAAAAAAGCATTGAGTACATTAGCTTTTTCCACATCCTCTGTCACTAGGTTGCCTCCCTCATTCAGTAAGGGGCCCACAATTTCCTTGACTTTTTTCTTGTTGCTAACAGACCTGAAGAAACCGTTCTTGTTACTCTTAACATCTCTTGCTAGCTGTAACTCCAAGTGTGATTTGGCCTTCCTGATTTCACTCCTGCATGCCTGAGCAATATTTTTATACTCCTCCCTGGTCATTTGTCCAATCTTCCACTTCTTGTAAGCTTCTATTTTGTGTTTAAGATCAGCAAGGATTTCATTGTTAAGCCAAGCTGGTCGCCTGCCATATTTACTATTCTTTCTACATCAGGATGGTTTGTCCCTGTAACCTCGATAAGGATTCTTTAAAATACAGCCAGCTCTCCTGGACTCCTTTCCCCCTCATGTTATTCTCCCAGGGGATCCTGCCCATCAGTTCCCTGAGGGAGTCAAAGTCTGCTTTTCTAAAGTCCAGGGTCCGTATTCTGCTGCTCTCCTTTCTTCCTTGTGTCAGGATCCTGAACTCGACCATCTCATGGTCACTGCCTCCCAGGTTCCCATCCACTTTTGCTTCCCCTACTAATTCTTCCCGGTTTGTGAGCAGCAGGTCAAGAAGAGCTCTGCCCCTAGTTGGTTCCTCCAGCACTGGCACAAGGAAATTGTCCCCTACACTTTCCAAAAACTTCCTAGATTGTCTGTGCACCGCTGTATTGTTCTCCCAGCAGATATAAGGGTGATTGAAGTCTCCCATGAGAACCAGGGCCTGCAATCGAGTAAATTCCATTAGTCGCCAGAAGAAAGCCTCGTCTACCTCATCCCTCTGGTCTGGTGATCTATAGCAGACTCCCACCACGACATCACCCTTGTTGCTCACATTTCTAAACTTAATCCAGAGACTCTCAGGTTTTTCTGAAGTTTCATACCGGAGATCTGAGCAGTCATACTGCTCTCTTACATACAATGCAACTCCCCCATCTTTTCTGCCCTGAATGTCCTTCCTGAACAGTTTATAGCCATCCATCACAGTACTCCAGTCATATGAGTTATCCCACCAAGTCTCTGTTGTTCCTATCACATCATAATTCTTTGACTGTGCCAGGACTTCCAGTTCTCCCTGCTTATTTCCCAGGCTTCTTGCATTTGTGTATAGGCACTTAAGATAACTCGCTGATTGTCCCACTTTCTCAGTATGAGGCAGGAGCCCTCCCATCTTACACTCTCCTGCTTGTGCTTCCTCCCAGTATCCCTCTTCCCCACTTACCTCAGGGCTTTGGTCTCCTTCTCCCAGTGAACCTAGTTTAAAGCCCTCTTCACTAGGTTAGCCAGCCTGCTTGCGAAGATGCTCTTCCCTCTCTTCGTTAGGTGGAGCCTATCTCTGCCTGGCACTCCTCCTTCTTGGAACACCATCCCATGGTCAAAGAATCCAAAGCCTTCTCTCCGACACCACCTGTGTAGCCATTCGTTGACTTCCATGATTCGACGGTCTCTACCCAGGCCTTTTCCTTCCACAGGGAGGATGGACAAGAACACCATTTGCGCCTCAAACTCCTTTATCCTTCTTCCCAGAGCCACATAGTCCACAGTGATCCGCTCAAGGTCATTCTTGGCAGTATCATTGGTGCCCACGTGGAGAAGTAGGAAGGGGTAGCGATCTGAGGACTTGATGAGTCTTGGCAGTCTCTCCGTCACATCGTGAATCCTAGCTCCTGGCAAGCAGCAGACTTCTCGGTTTTCCCGGTCGGGGCAGCAGATAGATGACTCAGTCCCCGAGGAGGGAGTCCCCAACCACCACCACCTGCCTCCTTCTCTTGGGAGCGGTGGTCATGGAACTCCCTTCCCTAAGACAGTGCATCTCATGCCTTCCAACCGGTGGAGTTTCCTTCTGCTTCCTTCCCTCAGATGTATCATCTAGTCCACTATCCGCATTAGTACCTGTGGAGAGAACATGAAAATGGTTGCTTACCTGTATCTGCATTGCTGGTACATGGACGCTCCCCTTTCTTTTTCTGGAGGTCACATACTGCCAAATTTCTTCACCGTCCTTCTGTCCCCGCTGCGCAGCCTGTTCTGAATCTTCAGAATCTTGTGCCCGTAGAGCATATCCTGACGTCTGTCCAGGAAATCTTCAGTTTCTCTTTTGCAATGCAGGGTTGATACTTGTTTCTCTAGACCTTGAACCTTCTCTTCCAATAAGAGCTTGGCGCAAGGGAGGAAAAACAGTGCAGTGGATAAGGCATTAGTCTAGAGGCTTGGGAGACCCTTGTTCATCTGCCATAGACTTCCTGTGTGACTTTGCGCAAATCAGTTTGGGTCAGATTCACAAAGGTATGTATGTGCTTACATGCCCTGGATAGCTAGACAACAATAACGGCTAAGGGGAGACATGATCACAGTCGACAAGTATCTGAGGGACTCTGATTCCAAGAAGAGGAGGAGGATTGCTCCAGGAGAGATGAAAGAAGGGACCGTAACTAAGTGAAATGGAATGATATTAAAAAGATAAATTAAGACTTCATACCAGTTAAGATGTACTAATGACAATAGTAAATTCCATTAGGACCCAATTCAGGAAAGCAGTTAAGCATTTACCTAACTTTAAATACAAATAATTTGACTGAAATCAATGGTACTACCTACATGCCTTGCTAAATCAAGGTCTTAGACTCTAGATCATAGGATAGTCTTCCAACTGAAGTGGTGGTGGTCCTGTCCTTTGAGGCAGTTAGATTTGATCAAGTAGTAGAAAATACAGATGAATTATAAGACTGGAATATATAAATTGAGAGGCCATGCCAAGTGTATGCAGTGGTAGTCATGAAAGAAGCTTTGGGATTGTGTGTAGGAGAGAAAAGGATCAAGAGATATGTTTCTACGCTTCGGTTATGTGCATTTGAGGTTGTTTACAATCCATGTGTTATCATCCATACGTAATTTAATTACTTGCTCTGGATTTTTTTCCTTCAAAAATAATACAGAACTCAAACATCATATATACTTTGCTTCTCTAATTAATATTTTAGGGCAAATATTAACCAGCCTATTTTCATGGAATGTTTGAACTAAGTTAACCTAAGTATAAAAACTGAAACAAGCAAATGTTAATATTGTTTCTACAGTCACTGATGTAACAATAATAGTAGTTGTACACCACCAGGCTGAAAATCAACTCCCTTTATGTCCAAACAATAGAGTGAATCACAGAATTCTGACCTTGATATATAATGTGATCATGTTGTAATTATAGCCCTTGTACTTTGGGTATAAACAGACTACATTATCAGTAAAAGTAAGGGAAGTACTGCTTCTTCCTGCAATTTACAGAAAACGACTGGGGTGATAGTATGAAAACTATGAAGCTTTAAGATAATACAGGAGAGAAAAAATCTTATTTTCTGCAAATGAAAAAAAAAATAAGCTGGTTATTTGAACTACATGGAACCAGCTTATTGTTGGCACCTAAATTCTGTAGAAGAGCATGGCTTACAAATTTAAAGATTACAAAAATATATATAATTCATAAAGGTCAGTGCTGCTATTTTCATGTCCAAAGCAAAGAATTAAATCCTCAATCCATGTCACAGCTCACATGTTCTCGAATGGCAGTGTGATGAAAGAAAATTCCTTTTATTTCATGGCAAAATCTGCCATAAATTTGTTCTCTTTGTGTCCCCTCAGTGCAAGCCAAGATAGATATAACAAACAGATGTTCTTCAGCGTCACCTTAATCTCTGATTTGGATAACACTACTAGCATGCACTCTGATGTATTTTACGGAGGCAGAGACAGGAGTATTTGTGGGGAGTACAAGTGACCTTGGACCTGATTTTCAGAAGTCCTGCACACCTAGCAGCTCCAGTCTGACCTCAAATGCAAATGTGAGTGCTCAGCACTTTGTACAAATCAAAATCTTCAATTAATTTGCACACTGCTGAATACTGAATAATTAAAATAAATAATAATAAAATCATCATTATCACTTTCCTGAAAACAAGGCAGTACATGAAGTTCTCAGTTGGAAAGTCTATTCTCCCCTGGATGGGCACACACAGCTCCCGTTAATGTTAATTGCTATTTGAACAGTGGTAGTTGAGCAGTTTCTGGAGGCTTCTGGTCTGACTGGCCGTCCTTTCTGCCTGATGTCAGATAATCCAATAAGAACTCTGATCACAGGGCCACTCCCAGAGTCCCTGCTCTGATGCATTCAGGACAGTAACGGGGAGCACGCAGCAACAGGAACAATGGTTTGGGAGCCACTGTTCCCTTTGCACAAATGCTCCCTGATGGTGCAATAAAGAAGCTGTTCCCAAGAAGAAGAAGAGATCCCACCAATGAACGAAGTGGAAAAATGGAAAAAAAGAGAAAAACAGTGCTGGGAGGCAGGTTATATTATTCATAGATTCAGAGACCACCCGTGCCTGCCAATAGTGGGGTTGGGGAGAGTGAGGGCAGCTGGCAATATTCAGCAATATTACTGAGCATGCTCACTCCATGTACAAGCCAAGCAGCAAATCTGCAAGAAGCATGTGATCCTGCATGCTCCCCCCCCATGTCTTGCCTCTATGTGGATTATAAAGCCAGAAGGGACCATTCTTATCTTGTCTGACCCCCTGCATAACACAGGCCATAGGACTTCCCTAATGTAATTCCTGTTTGAACTAGGGTATATCTTTTAGAAAAAAACCCAATCTTGATTTAAAAATTCCAGTGATGGAGAATCCACCAGAACCCTTTGTAAGTTGTTACAATGGTTAAGTACCCTCACTGTTAAAAATGTGCACCTTATTTCTAACCTGAATTTATCTAGTTTCAACTTCCAGCCATTGTATCTGTTGTTATGCCTTTGTCTGTTAGAATGAAGAGCCCTGTATTATAAAATTTCTGTTCCCCATGTAGGTATTTACAGGCATTTTTAAGTTAACAGCTCTGGATAACTAGTATTTGAAAATTGTAATTGAGCTGTCCAAGGTGGGACGGTTAATATTGATTTTCAATAACTCTTGGAACATTAGGGAACTTCCAGAAGACTTTAAGAGAGCTAATGGTGTGCCAAAATTTTAAAAGGTTAAATATGACAACCCAGGTAATTACACGCCTGTTAGCTTGACAGTGATTCCAGGCAAAATAATGGAATGGTTGACATGGGACCTGATTAATAAGGAATTAAATAAAATTAATGCCAATCAACATGGGTTTATGCAAAATAGATCTTGTCAAAGTAACAATGTCTTTATCAACTGAACTTCTAGTAAAAAGAAAAAGAGTACTTGTGGCACCTTAGAGACTAACAAATTTATTTGAGCATAAGCTTTCGTGAGGTACTGGCTGTAGCTCACGAAAGCTTATGCTCAAATAAATTTGTTAGTCTCTAAAGTGCCACAAGTGCCCCTTTTCATTTTGCAGATACAGACTAACATGGCTGCTACTCTGAAACCTGAACTTCTAATATCACCTAAAAAGTGTTGATGTCATATCCTGAGATTTCTGTAACTCATTTGACTTAGTGCCATATAACATTTTGATTAAGAAACTAGAACAATACAGATTTGACATGGTGCACATTAAATGAACTAAAACTAGGCTGACAGAGCAAACTTTAGTAGCTATTTTTTAACATCCTCAGTTACTTTTGGAATGGAGAGTACTTCATCATCAGCATACAATATTAAGGAGTCTCAAAAAGACGCAAAATAACCCCACAGGGCATTCTGACACTACAGTGTGATGCATGCATCATCATTAGCCAAAACATGGTTTTGAGACATCAGTACAGTATTACAACATATATTGTATTGAAATGTCAGGGTGTTCAACTGCAGTTGGGTTTTTCTGCAATTCCATTCAAAGACAGATTTGCTCAAGGACTCAGATATATAACAAAGATCCATATAATTATCTAGAGAAATGGACTCTCCCACTCTTGAAAAGCAAGTGCCATTGCCTTCCACTATTTGCCTGATGGTTTCAGGATGGTTGTATCCATCCACAGCTTAAATCTCTTTTTGATATACATAAGAATTATTTTCTTCAACCTATCCCTACTCTATCCTTCAGCTATTTCTTGGGCTCACAGAAGCATTTTCATTTTGTTGGAGGCAGAAGCTCATCAGTATGTCTGCTTCCTTTCTTTAAATCTCTGAAGCGCTTTCATTAATCTCATGAATGGCACTTTATATATGTGATGACAAGGCTGCCATCAGCAATCCAATATTTTAAGTAACTTAGAATTCACTTCTTATATCCAATGAGAGGTTAATAATAAATCAGGATGTTTCCCCTCTGTCAAGCTGTCTTGGAGTGGCTCATGACCGTGAGTGCCAACCTCAGGGCAGACTGTTAGGAAGCAGAGCACAAACCCCAAATTGGTTGTGTGTTCTATAATTAGATTTCACCAGCCAAGTATCAAGTGTGATACTTCTCAAGCTCTGTAACAGCCTTAACATGGAGTCACAGGAAGTTCCCTTGGGTACTCCAATCTATCTTGCCACCTAGGCAAGCTTGTGTTTGTGCTAGATGGCCCTTACACCAAAAAAAAAAAAAAAAAAAAAAATCACCACCACAATATTCAGGTTACTTCCAGTAGCAAGGATCAGTCACTTATCCCAGGTCATTATCTTTCAAAGACAAGACTTGTAGCCAATCCTATAATAAATTACCTAAAGGTTTATTAACTAGGAAAAAGAAATGAGAGTTATTTACAAGATTAAAGCAAGTAAACATATATTACATAAATGAGTGACAGTCTTAGGTTTCAAGAAGTAATAGAAGCTGCTGTAATGAGCAAACTCTATATGTCCTTTAGGACTACCCAAGCTAAACAGCTGGGGGGATCCTTTGCATACGCTTAGAAATCTTGTCCTCTTCCTAAAGTCCCTGCAGCATAGGGTAACAATTTCTTCTTAGTCCCTGCCTACAGAGCTCAAGCTGATGGGACAAGTGTTTGTGCATGTCTCCTCTTCATAGGTGGTGGGGAGCAATCAACAAGTCTTTTGTCCACTGATGTTCCACAATGGCTTCTCTGGTGTATAGGGAGCCTTCCTTTGTTAGAGAGGAGATGACAATTCTTGTGGCAGACTAGTGTTTCACAGTTGGTAATGCTTCTCTCCTGATGGTGGGGGTTTACAGTTTTAACAACAAACACCTCTTATAGTTACAGAGCAGATACTTACTCTTACTTATAACATCTGTACCCCATGTTA